CTGCTCCCCCCTCCACCAGAGCAAAAGGGGCCTTTCCTGTTAACACATCAAGTTTCCTGGGTTAGAAGACTGCTGCACCCTGTCTTTCTGCTGGCTCAGCTATTCCAGGGTTTTTTCTTGGGTTAATATTTTTTCTGGGCTTTTAGAGGTCAGTAAGAGAGGGTGAGAGTGATTTACTTCTTACTCCATCAATGTTGGCTTCAAGAAGTCCCTCACTGATCTTTTTCTCAGGGACCCATCAACATGATGCCTCTCTCCTCAGACCCACCTTCCCTCCTAACCCCTACAAAGACATAGGAAGGATTCTTTGGATGTATACATCATCCTCTCTCCTGTTGTGATTGTGCCCATGATCAAATCATCCTTTGTATCAGGCCCTGACAGCAACCCACTTGCAAGTAGTTTTGTTCCAGCTACAAGGATTTCTAGTTACAATTCCAAAAGGCACTTGAGAGATTATTAGAACAGAAGATTCAGTGTTTATTAAAGTATCAAATTTACTTGTACTCATCAGGACTTGCATAAAGAGTTTGATTTATAATCACTTGCCAAGGGTTCTCCTCCCCAAGAAGGTTCTTCAATACGCCAAGCATCTATCATTTCATATGCATGGGTACTCCCTCCACTAAAGCATATGGACACACTTTTAGATATTAGCAATTAGCATTCAAGTGTTTCATAGCTTTAAAAAATGCATCAACCAGTAGCCAGCCTGGTAAGAAACTTTTCCAAAAACAGATAGCCTTTCATAGGACCTGTATTTGAAGCCTTTTCAGTTGGATCACATCTACCTTAGAGCTTTTGCACTTCATTCCTAAACCTGAATAACCCCAAGCTCAGAGCACTGAAGCATAATGAGGCAGCTGAGTAATACTTTACTAGAGATAGTGTGTTGATTAACTTTGAAGAATTTCCCCTCATTCCATTAAATATCTAAATATTAGGCTTATATATTGTTATCTATAAACCACCTATCTAAACATCTATTTTCCATTTTTTTAGAAATAACAATGTATCTATTATTGCATTGCATGTTAAAAATAGTCTTTAAGAGTTCATTCATTTATAAGGTGTTCACTCAAACATGTTTTCTTAACTTTTAACTTTAACTTTTCTTATTTATCTCACATAAAACTTCACCAATACACAGACAAGAGAAAGAAGAATAAATATTGTGGTTTTTAGCATTGAGCCATTGAGAATTAAAGGTAAGATACTAAGAATTCTCTTGTTTCTAGCAAATGACTAGACATTTTCAAATATTAATAAAAATAAGTAATGCAGTATGCATTCCTTAGATAAAGTATTAAAATCACCAGGCAAAAGGTGGCAGCAGTGAGTCATGCTGCAATCTTATGTTACATGCAATTATTACTATTATTGAAATTTCTATATACTTTTTAAATAAATTTACTAAATATAAATTAGATTTTGTTAAAATGAGTGATTGTTAAATGTTGCATAATGAAATGGCCATAACAAATAAAAACAACAATTTTGGGACATAAATTTTTCTTTTCTTAAAAATACCTCACCCATATTCTATAAAGCTGTACTGATATTGCCTATGGACACTTTCCAAGCATATCAATATGTAAAAATGACTTGTTCTTTGCTATATTTCAACAATAATATAAATCATTGTTAAAAAGATTTTGAGAATTTAGCTCTTGATAATCTGAAAAGAAAAAATAAACCTCCTCTGTAAATATGCAGTATTCCTTTGGTGTATAGTTTTACTGTTATCATAGATATAATTTTTTAAAAATACAATTTGACCTACTAACTTAAAATATATGAATTATGTTTTCCCTCTCTAAGTGGTTTTCAAGTTAAAAATAAGAGAACAAGAGATGCAGCATATCATAATGGAGTGAGAGCTGACTTTAGAATTCAAGTCCTCCCACTACACATACTAAGTTACCCTGGGCAAGTCACATAACTACACAGTGCCCCAGGAAACTCTTTAAGACTGACATTCACAGGGCAGGTGACAATCACTACTGCATAATGAGTTTCTTATACCGAAGAAATCACATCTGGTCTAAGAGGGGGGAAAAAAAACTGATCTGCCATAAATAGGAACAAATATCTTTTAATTTCTAGCAAATGTAGCATTAGTCATCATAAATAAATATTAATGTAACATTTTAAATATAGTGCTAGTTGCCTTTTGGTACCAAATTTTTTTCTGTGCTTTTTATATGTCTATACTTTTTTTTAAATACCTTTATACATTTTTCAAGAGTTCTGATCATTAAAGAATTACCTAATATGTACTACCAAAATGGTATTATGATAATATATTTCACCACTGTAGAATTCTTTCAGTATGAAAACAACTCCAGAACTGGAAGTCTTAATAAATATTCTTCTTATTAGGGAGTCTTTACCCTCACAGCCTCCTCTGTATGTACTGCATTTAGAAATGCATATGATTTTTCTTCCCCATTTTCATTGCTTTACCTTCAATTATACTACTACATCTTATTATTCAATGTATTTAATATTTCTGAATGTTGTTTCCCTTATGGATTCCCATGTGCTTGTATTTTAATATTCTTAAAGCCATAATTCATTTAAATAAGCATCTGATAAGGTATCTACTGGGCACAGATTATTATGTGCCAGAGGAGAAACAGAGCCCAGATGAGACACTGTCCTTTCATTCATGGAGGCCAAACTAGAAAAGAAACATACATAGATAATTATACCAGCTGATTAAGTGCCATGGTTAGAACTCAGGACTTTGAGTCCAAGAGATCTGGTTTCAAATTATGATTTGAATACTTACTAGCTTTGACTAGACAGATCATTTCATGTCTCTCTACCTCAGTTTCTTCATCTGTAAACTGGGGAATAATAATTGCACCTACTTTACAGGTTATTGTATCAAATATGTTAACATGTAAAGTGCTTTGTAAATGTTAAGTTGCTATGTAAATACTAGATATAATTATTATTATACCACAAAATGTGATATGTATATTACTGAGGCACAATCACAGCCTTATGTGAAGACTGGCAGAGTCTTTATGAAGGACATCAGGAAAAGTTGCAATGAAGTGGTAGCATTAATCAGGCAGCTTGGTAGAGCAGTGGATATAAACCTAGATTTGGTGACAGGAAGACCTGAGTTCAAATGCCACCTGAGATATTTCCTTTTTACTAGCTGTATGACCCTGGGTAAGTCACTTAATTTTCCTCAGCCTCAGTTTCCTCATCTGCAAAATAGTCCTAATATTAATAACACCTAATTCCCAGGATTGTTGTAAGGATCAAATAGGTTAACATATGTAAAGCCCTATATAAATTAACTGATACTATTAATAAAGATCAGTTCCATATTCAGAATCTCAGTCATAGAATCTGTCCAAACCTCTCACTTTTCAAGATTAATAAACTGAAACAGAGAGGTTATACTGTTCCAAGGTCATGTAGCTAGTTAGCTGCAGAACAGGGACTGACTTCTAGGTTAAATTTTATTCAGACTTTCTGATTTTAAATCAGACTGCTTGATTTCAAATTAGGGCCAGATTCTTATTAGGAAGGGTGGAGGCTAAAGGGAATCCTAGGAACCTGATATACTCCAGCATGTTTTCTTTTTTCTCAAGAATAATATCTTAAGGGATAGTGATAATCAGAACTTCAAGATAGGGATCAGATGTGGTACACAGTTTGCATAATTACAGGAAACATTTGCCCTTGTAACTGAGCATGTCTCTTGCATTCTACTAAAGCCTTGCAGGCACAGTAGAAACCTGTTATAATATGAGTTATATTATTACACAGATGAGGATATATCATGGATTAAATCATGTCCCCTGAAACATGGCAACTTTGTATATCATTGCCCTGACATATGGAGATAACATGTAACGAGTGCTTTGTGTAATGATACTGACTATATATTTCTAAAATATGCCGTTAAATTTCAGTAAAGAAGATTATACTTTTATTGGTTACCTCAGCAATAGGGAAGAAGAAGGAAAATAGCAGGCAGGGCAAATATGAGGATGGTATTGGAATCAAGTCAGGAAAAAATAGAAAGTGATGTAAAGAGGAATAATATAACGTGGTAATTGAGAATAAAATTAGTTGGTTAGATTACTTGGTTAGATATTTGCCAGAGAGAGAGAGAGAGAGAGAGAGAGAGAGAGAGAGAGAGAGAGAGAGAGAGAGAGATCATCATCACCTAAGGCAGCCTATTCAAGTTCCTGTCAGGACAGGTTCATTTATTGCCCAAGCATCGCAGATACACAGTAGAATGATTTCACTAAAGGAGAAAGTGACAAAGAGCCTGAGGAGACGATGAGAGTTGGACTAGCACTCTTGAGAAGACATCAAACAGGTATTTATTTATACCTCTCATGGTTTAAAACTACAGTTATTGTGAGTGTGGGAGCATAATGTCCATCTCGAAATGCTGTCATTTCTGTCCTGCCTGAACTCCCCTCTTCCGTGCTTCTAGTCCCCCATTCCCATGACTATTCATGAAATTTTACTTCTTTGTTTCCAGGTTGTTTGACATCTGCTCAAAAAAAAAAAAGCCTCCAGCAGAGTGTAAGGGAATAACTTGTTTTTGAGGGAGTTAATTCTAATAAACGGGAAAAATACTTTCCCGAGGTTTCCTTCTAGATTTCTTGGGGGCCCAAGTGTTTCCACCCCTCTCAAGTTCTGGTTCGGTGTTCCATCAGATGCTTTTGCAGTCTTCCAACTCACGGCCTCCCCCCTTTGCTGCTGCTGCTGCTACTGCTAAAACCAGGAGAAGTCTCTCTCTCTCTCTCTCTCTCTCTCTCTCTCTCTCTCTCTCTCTCTCTCTCTCTCTCTCTCTCTCTCTTTCTCTCTCTCTCTCTCTCTCTCTCTCTCTCTCTCTCTCTCTCTCCTCCTTCTCTCTCTCTCTCTCTCTCTCTCTTCTCTCTTCTCCTCTCTCTTCTCTCTCTCTCTCTCTCTCTCTCTCTCTCTCTCTCTCATTTTTCTAGCAGTTGAACTGGGCATGCTCGGCAGCTACAGCAGCCTTCAGTTGCAAGGAGGACGTTTTCCCACTAACTACGCTTCAGAGCCTAAAGCTGAGGCATAGGTGCAGGCTAAGGCTGGGGTTCCTGCTGCTGCTGCTCCGGAGCAGCCTCGCCCCTCGGCGGCAGCACAGGTGGTGGCGGCGGCGGCGGCTGCGCTGAGCTAGGGAGGGAGGGCAGCTGCTCTCCGGAGCAGCTTAGACGCAGCATCAGTAGGCGCGCGCTCGAAGAGAGAAGGAAGAGAGAGAAGAGGCAGCTGTGTCTTTACTGGGTCTGCTCCAGCTACATCCAGCGGCGGATGTGCGGGAGGAGGAGGAGAAGGCGGAGGCAGCAGCAGAAGGGATAGATATCGGCGGTGGCACCACGACGGCTGCACTACAGCGCCGCTGCTGTGCTTGCTGTAAGAGCCCCGGATAAGATAGCTGGAAGCACCAACAGTGGTGGAGGAAGCCAAGGAACCAGAGACTTTGCCTCGGTAGCAGGCTGTAAAGGAGCCTTATCCTTAACTGCTTTTTTCTCTTTCCTGCCCAGCATCACTTGTCCCGGAGCCACGCACAGACAACAAAAGCGAAAGATGCTGCAGTTGGGCAAGGTCAGGACCTTGCACTGAAGCCTGGAGGCGGCGCACACACCTTTCCCTGGAATTGAGGATTTGTCTGTTTTGGTGGGTGCATGTTTGGGAGAAAGCAGACAGGCTCAACGCCTTTTGGTGAGTGCATTTGCTGGGCTAGCAGTGCCAGGATTATTCTCCTCCTTATTGGTGGCGGGGGTTGTTCCTCCAGCTCTGAGCTATCTGTCGACGGCGGATGCTCAATATCGCTTTCCGTTGGGAGGACCACAATTGCCCTGGTTCCTCTCTCGGAAGACAGCTCTGTCTGGTGGAGGATACCCAGTTGGTGCCTTTCTTGGCGAGGTAACAAAGTGGCTTCTCGTCTCCCTCCCCCTCCCATCTACAATACGTTATCCGGAGGCATATATAGGGCATCACCAACAATACTGCTTCCTAAGATCCTGCAATAATGTACTCCTCGCATTAATGACGTCCTGAATATACGGGAGAATAGAAGGGTGGGGGTGGGGTGGGTCACACTTCCCTCTAGTCTTTAAGCTCTGCTTTTCAATGTCATTGAGATGTTTGGGTGGAACAAAATGGGAATACTTAGTCATTTACACCCATGTCCCTTTTTTCGTCTTCTATTTTTCCCCCCATACTGAAAGCCCCTATGGTCTATATTTAGCAGGCTCAGCTCGAGCATTTTTGGAGCAATACACAAGGTTTAGAGTCTTGGGCGCGCTGACAATGGGTAGAGAAGCTTTTGAAACCGATGTCTGAAGCACACATCTCTGGAAAGCTTTTTGTGTGGGTCTGTGCGATATGCAATGTGATATTTGGCTAATCTATAATTAATGGCTGAAAGCAAAGATGCTTTTCTTTTTTCCTTACCTTCCTCTTATTCTGGTGTGTAATGTGTTTGCATCGATTGTTTCTCAGCAGGCTCAAGTCACTATAGAGTGAATTAAGTCACTACAGAGGTGGTGCAGCCTATATGGTTTTTGTTGTAGCAAGTAGACTTCTATAGGGATTTTTTTAAATCAAGAATTGACCATGAAACTGATAAGTTTGGCATTAGACAATAATGGTAGGGTTGTGTAGCCTATAGAAACACGTAGAATAAAAGGAGTCTGGTTATTCTTGCATGTTTTCCTTCCTTCTTGTGTTTGAGTTGTATCAACGTGATTAGCCTTGGCTTAGAAATGATGGTTTTACTAATGTTAAAAAAAAAAAAGGAACAGATTGATAGGCCTTGCTGAGACCAGTAACTGTTAACTTCTATAAACCGTATGACTAATATTTAAGTGCACTTTATATTTTCTTCTTTGACTTTCATGAAATTAGGGAGGCACTAGAAGCTATGCCCTAAAGTTATTTTATTTTGTATCCCTATAAATAACATGACAACGTTGTTCATCTTGTTAAAGTATTAACAACATTTTATGCCTATATTTTTTTAAAACTATTTGAGCTACAATCTTCAAACAGCATCATGTGAAATGTCTCCTCTGTTTGATTACAGATTACTTTGTGCACTAACATTTTGAATTATTTGGGGGGAAGTATAACAATCTACAAAGTTAGAAACCACTTTGAAATCAATTAGAATTCCTTTGTTGATGCATAAAACATTAGTTTGGAAAAATAGCATCTCAAAAATAGCCTTTCTTACATGCAGAACTCATTGTTAATATTCCTTGCAAAGCTATTCAGTGCTATCCTTTTTGGTCTGTGGGTTAGAACAAGGCTTTAGGGTTTGAATGAATCTGAGTATATTAGCAGTTTTATTTTTAACTATGGGAGGTCTGTGATCATAGTAGTAAAACTAAACACTTTTAAAATATTCAACTCAAAGTCATGGTTAACTGTGTGAATGATCTTTTTTTTTCTATTTTACCTTAGTTACATCTTCTATTATTTGTATTTATAAATCTTGTTAGAAAATTGCATTCAGCTTTTTTCCCTAAGACTTTTAATGTAAAATGTCATCTTATAAGGAAGCAAGAGATGCAATAAACAGGTGTACTGTGAGTTTTGTCCTTTTAGAGGCTATTCTCATAGTTTTTAATGACACTATGCAAAGACTGCTTAGTGTCCTTGCATGAACAGACAGAGTAGCTGATAGGCAAGGAAAAGAGGATAAAAACATATATCCCTTAGTGTGAGTTATATGTCCTGTTACAGATTACAAAGTTAAGATACTGATTGAGTGGTCAGTGGAGTAAATTAGCCTCCTCTAATTGAAGCTATTATTCTAATAAAATCATGACACAGTCTATTGTATTTAGCTGTAAAAGGTCCTCTGTGTGTGTGTGTGTGTGTGAATAATGTCCCCTCTTTTTCTTAGAGCATGGAACTTTCAAACTATAGGCTTTAAGCTTAACTTCACTGGCTCTTTTAAAAATAAGTTTATCATAAAGTTGTACTTAATTTAAATGTAGAAACTAAAGTGTGTATGTTTCACAGGATTGTTTTTTCCTACTGTGTATAGTTAAGTAGTTTTCTTAGCTTGGCAATTTCTTCAGCTTCACCAAATAAAAAAAGGTGTGTTCTCTTTAAAATAAAAGAATCTACTTGTATACATCTTCAGTCATAACATATAATTTTTGCTTTTGACATGCTGCAAAACTATAAAATAACTATAGAGTGAATTTCAGGTTCATTGTATAGGATGTGTAATGATTTTCATGTATGTTTGCTCTATTTGTTATATCATCAGCATTTTGCACTGAAGTTTTATAGGATTTGTTTTCTTCTATCTACGATGAGGAAATACTGTGTAGTGTAAAGAACACTAAGCTTGAAGAGCCTAGGAGAACTGGGTTCAAATCTAAGCTCTAGAACTAAACGAGTTGACTGACTATGGGCAAATTTTTTAACCTTTTTTGAACCTCAGTTTCCTCATCTGGGAAATATACTTGAATACTTCAATGTATGCTGTTACTCTGTGGAAGGTAGTTGTAACTCTTAAAGTACCAGCTAAATGTGTTATCACTTATGTGAACTTAATTCCATCATAATTGTTAAATGCGTGCTTGAAATTAAACAGTATCAAATCTAGTATAGTTTGGCTTGACATAAAAATGAAGGTTTGTATGTAATAAAACTAGGTAAACAGATATAACTGGTTGAAAAAATCCTTTCAATCTTGAAACAAATATATCAAATTTTCTCACACTTATGTTATGCTCATTCAATAAGTATGGGAAATGTCAGTACAAGAGCATTATAATGCCTATGCATGATCACTTTTCTAAGCATTGCTTCCTTTTCCTTTTTGGAATGTTTTGTAGATTGCATGATATTCTGCCAGTGGCATCCTTCTTCTATAAGTGAGATTCAAATGCCCCCAAATTTTCAGTTAGTATTTTTAGTGGAATCACAACTTAGTCACTCTCTGTATGACTATGAATAAATCCTGAGAATCTGTATTTGGGGCAAAGACATTGTCCTGCATTACAGCTCTAACCAAATAATAGGGAGAATAGTAAGATGATGTTTAAAATCAAGTTAATTTCTTGAGCATCTCTAAAACATGGAAACAAAGTATCTTAGCACCATATTCTTTATTTTGAAGTGCTTGTGATACTGCTTCTATAGTTCCGTGTGAAAAGTTAACTTGAGTGGGAACAGTTCATGATGCTAGTTGCTAGTTTCAAGTTTATCTGACTGTATGCCAAACTAACAGCTTTTTGTATTAATGTAAAATATTAAACATGTCATAGATAAATAGTTTCTATCACATTCTCTGCCAATCCAGCCTACTGATTAATAATCTGCCTGTTTTGGTTTAGTGAATCTAATTACAGTTATAAACAGTAGCTCCAGCACAGGGGGGAAAATATCACAGAAATGTTGTTATCACACTGTGTTTTCACGCTTTTCATTTCTGACTGTATGACTAGTCACTGGTTTGTGGGCATCATCAGGAATGATTTTGGTGATGTAACACCCAAAATATTGTATCACTTAATCACAAATAAAGTACTCAGGCTTCCTACTCTATAGTGTCTGGAGAATAAACTATGGCTGATCATTAATATTCCACTTGTTGCAAACTAATTGATGCAAAATGGAATTAACTTCTGCAAAAAAAAGCTCAAATAAGTGCAATAGAGTTTTTCACAAGATTAATATCTTAGCCATGTGTCCATCTATCCCTCAGTAAAGTGATTTTTGCATTAGTTTAATTTATTAGAATGATGCATAAACATATAGTAGGTATATATATATATATATATATATATATATATATATACATATATATATATACACATACATATATATATGTACATATATAGATATATGTTGTAAAAAATTGCCCACACAACTACTTCATGTATTTTAAATCTTATTTTACCATTGACTTTAAATAGGAAATCTAAAAGGTGTTCCTACAGAAAAAAGTTCTGACTTAAAAGTAACCTTGGGTATAGCTAGCCTTTTAAATACCACATAATTAAATGTAGAATGACCATTATTCTTTCAGAGAATAATGTCAAGTTGCCTAATACCAGAAACTGTAATAATTTTTATGTGAGTCAATGTAGGGGGTAGGAGGTCACATTACCTTGAATCATTGTATTAGTTTCTTGGGTTTGGTTCTCATGTGTCTACTTTTATACTCATTTTAAATATGTTAAATCTTCAAATACCGTAGTATGGTGTCAGTGAACTAAAATGGCTAGTCCATTTTGAGTGATTTCAGTTGATTCTTATTTCTATACTAATAGGTAATTATAACAACAAGGGAATAAAGTAGAGTTTTATTTTCCAGATTCTAAAGTTTATTGGTTTTGAAAGGGAATGGATCAAATGATACAAAAACAACTGTGCAGGTTGAAGTAAGTCCTAGGTCAGAGTCTTCCTCTCAGGGTGAAGTTTTTTCCTCCTATTCCCTCCTATCCTATTGGAAGGAGTTTGAGGAAGAGTACAGATTGATCATGATATGGGATGTTGCTTTTACGTTTTCATTTCAGAAACTGAATTCATTAGCTTTAGGGAGTAGTTGGGTCAAGATAGTTTAAAAGATGTTTTATAACAAGTAAAATACCAAATTTATTCAATTTTTTTTCAAATTATCATGGGAAAAAGTAGCCCTAAGTTAAAGTAATGCCAAAACTTTGAATTTAGTGGTTTTTTTAAACAAAAAATTG